CTTCAAGTCACCAGGGCCTGATGAAATGCATCCTGGAATACTCAAGGAGCTGACTGAGGAGATATCTGAGCCACTAGCAATTATCTTCAAAAAGTCATGGAAAACGGGAGAGATTTCAGAGGACTGGAAAAGGGCAAATATAGTGCCCCTCTATAAAGAGGGAAATAAGGACAACCCGGGGAACTTCTGTACCTGGAAAGATAATGGAGCAACTAATTAAGCAATCAGTTTGCAAACACCTAGAAGCTAAGAAGGTGATAAGTAACAGTCAGCATGGATTTGTCAAGAACAAATTGTGTCAAATGAGCCTAATATATTTCTTTGACAGGATAACAAGCCTTGTGGACAGGGTGGAGGTGGTAGATGTGGTATATCTTGACTTTAGTCTTGACTTTTGATACTGTCTTGCATGACCTTCTCATAAACAAACTATGGAAATTCAACCTAGATGAAGCTACTATAAGGTGGGGGCATAACTGGTTGGAAAACCATTCCCAGAGAGTAGTTATCTGTGGTTCACAGTCATCCTGGAAGGGCATAACCAGTGGGGTCCCGCAGGGATCAGGTCTGGGTCCGGTTCTGTTCAATATCTGCATCAATGATTTAGATAATGGCATAGAGAGTACACTTCTAAAGTTTGCGGATGATACCAAGCTGGGAGGATTTGCAAGTGCATTGGAGGATAGGATGAAAATTCAAAATGATCTGGACAAACTGGAGAAATGGTCTGAAGTAAATAGGATGAAAATTAAGAAGGAAAAATGCAAAGTACTCCCCTTAGGAAGGAACAATCAGTTGCACACATATAAAATGGGAAATGACTGCCCAGAAAAGAGTACTGCAGGAAGGGATCTGGGGCTCACATGGATCACAAGCTAAATATGAATCAACGGTGTAACACTGTTGCAACAAAAGCAAACACCATTCTGGGATCTTCGGAACAGGCGAAGGAATGGATCACTTGGTGATGACCTGTTCTGTTCATTCCCTCTGGGGCACTTGGCATTGGCCACTGTTGGAAGACAGGATACTGGGCTAGATGGACCTTTGGTCTGATCCAGTATGACTGTTCTTATGTAGTAGCAGGAATATTGTAAGCAAAACACGAGAAGTAATTCTTCCTATCTACTCCACAGTGATAAAGCTTCAACTGGAGTATTGTGTCCTGTTTTGGGTGCCACATTGGAGAAAGTCCAGAGAAGAGCAACAAAAATGATTAAAGGTCTAGAAAACATGACCTATGAGAGAAGCTTGAAAAAATTGGGTTTGTTTAGTCTGGAGACTTACATTCAAAAAGGGGATTCGGTCCTTAAAAAAGAAAACGTGAAACACTGAGAATGTGGCTCTATCCCCCCAAATGTGTCAAAGCTCAGAATTTTTTGGCAATGTCAAGCTACCGTGGAAGAGCCATTTCAAACGAAGAAGCATCACCCGGCCCTTTGTTGTTAATAGAAATATGAAATGTGTTTAGATTCATTTTCCACCCACCCGATCAGTACACACAGCACACCCCTACATTTCGTATCCATTCACTCTGTGCTGACATCCATCCCATCGCCCCACGTACAGCTCAGCAGTCACCCCACCAAGCCAACCCCACAGCTACACCAAGGGAGGGAGAGCACCACCACCCACCCTCTCCTTTATGGGCAAAGGCCAGGGGAGTGACGGCATTTCCATGTGTTCAGTGGAAGTCCCACCCCCTCCAGTAAACACCCCAGGCCTGTTGCTCCCCATTCCTGACCCTATCCCTGCTTTCCCTGAGCAAGACACTGCCAAGTCCTAGTCCCCATGTCACTGGATCTCCCCCGGGATCCAAATTCCAAAGCCTGGCTCCCTTTCCTGGGCCAGAAAAATCTGCTCCCAAAGACCCAACTCCCCAGCAGACCCTCTAAACAAGGGATCAGCTCAGCAGGCGAACAAGAGAGGCAAGCAGGGGAGTTTTTCAGGGCGTAGCTGTGGATCCACTGCATGGAGGTAAAGGGACTTGATGAGTTGTGTGCTGGTCTGTTTGCTGTTTGTTTCCGTGTGGGTCGTGTGGCTGTGGTTTGGGTCCCTGACCAGGCCAGGTGACAGAGGTCTGTCTGTTTGTGTCTCTGAGAGGGCCGTGTGGCTCTGACCCTTGGGCCTAGGATCAGCCCTGGTGTTTGACATCTGAGTCATCGATCACCCAGTTAGCCCCAGGGAAGAACTAAGCAGCGAGGCGCAGAGCGTATGAGGTAGTTGCTGAGCAAACACTTGACCAGGCACTTGGGTGAGGCACTGAACCATTCAGCTATGTCGTTATTTTAGCCCCACTCTCTAGGACAAGGATTCTAAAACTGGGGGTTGAGACACCGCAGGGGGTCACGAGGTTATGACCTGGGGGGTTGCGAGCTGTCAGCCTCCATCCCAAACCCCACTTCACCTCCAGCATTTATAATAGTGTTAAATATATAAAAAAGTGTTTTTAATTTATATGGGGGGTGGGTCACACTCAGAGAGTTGCTGTGTGAAAGGAATCACCACTACAAAAGTTTGAGAACCACTGCTCTAGGATACGATCGACAGACCTGCCGGGCCTGTTGGGTTCTGTGTATTGTGCAGCAGTTTCACGGCACTTTTGAGTAAACACAGCAGCACTAGATACAGTATTTTCACCCCCCAGAATCCTTTAGAAAGTAAAAGCAGGATTTCCCCACAACTACTCCCCACCCCTCCAGCTGAGAACTGTATTTCAGGGTCAAACCAACCTCTGTTATGGCTGGGCTGAAGTCCGTGAGATAGCAATTCCTGCCTGGGAAATCCCAGTTACTGAATGTGGAACAACGGATCACAGTGACACAATGGGGAGGATGTTTGGTTTTGATGTGTTCTTTCCCCCCAAATCTCCACTGACGTTCCTGATGGATTCTCCTACAGCTGCACCAGGAAGTTGGAACAATGCTGCGGCCTCTGCTGATTCCCTTGACATACTTCTGTCTTCAAACCTGGCTGGGAATCCCTCAGGTAAACTCTTGAGCTTTGCCAGTGAAACACTCTGTGTTTTCTCATGTTTCTGCTCAAGGCTATGCAGGCAGCCATACTGCCTTAGACCCATAGACATGTAGGGCTGGAAGGGACCGCGAGAGGTCATCTAGTGCAGCCTTGTGTGCTGAGGCTGGACCAAGTGCACTGAGACCACCTCCGACAGTTTTTGTCTATTCAGGGCCCCACGCCACATTTTGCAGTGGCTGGTAGGGGAACCCCGGCCCTCCCACGAAACTGGGTTCCAGTCCAGGGACCCTCTGACCAGCAGCCAAGGTCTGCTCCACCACAGCAGTGTTGCCGTCCTCCATATGCATTTGGGGGTTGTATCCTGGATGAAACCTTTCCATGGGCACCACCAGCCTTGGAGCACGCAGTGCATGGCTGGCATACAGCGATGACAACCCACTGACTCCCAGTGAGTTTAATGAGGGGGGTTTCTAGATATCTCAGTGGGAGTGGATTGGGATCTCAGTCTCTCCTGGCTCCCTCACTTCTATGTCTCTTGTTCCCCCTGCTTTGTCTTCCCTATTAATGTATCCCTTCCTGCCTTTCTTCCTAACCCTACATCTAGACACAATATATCTATTACACTAAAAGTCCCCAGTAAACTAAAAATGCATCTGCAATGATTACAGGGCTTGCTGGTCCTTGGGTGTGCCACCCCCCCCAGAAGAAAATCATGAAGCTAACATAACATTTGCCATGCAACACACTGAGGATTTTGCCTCTATGTTCCATCCCTTTCTCCCACTTTTCCTCTGTCTTGTCTGTTTAGAGGTAAGCTTCTAGGGCAGAGGCCATTCCGAGTGTGTTTGTACAGGGCTGAGCACAATGGGGCCCCAATCCTGGGTGTGACCTCTAGGTGCTATTGTAACACAAATGCTAATGTGACCGTATGTTTCCTTTATTCTCCCAGGCAAAATGTGAGGTGGAGCTGAGCATGATGCCTGATGCTTTTGATGACCAATATCTAGGATGTGCTGAAGAAATGGATGAAATTGCACCTAAACTGCTAAAGGAAGAAAAGTCCATGTCCTCAGTGTTTTGCAGTGTGTGGGACAAGGCAAATGAAACCTGGAAAAATATGAAAACGATTTCTCGCCCCGACGGCTTTAAGGATGAATATGGAATAGCCATAGTAGCCTATACTGACCCCACCAAATACCCCGAATACAAAAAAACTTTTTCAACTATATTTAATGATGCAGTGAGTGGGACTAACAGATCTCGAGCTGCTTACATGGCCAGTTTCCAGTTCAAAGCCTTTCATTATTATCTGACAAGAGCTTTGCAGCTCTTATGGAAGGACGCGGGAGGAAAGTGTGGTGCGATGTATAAAACGACGGTGTACCGGGGGGTTAATACTAGTTCTAAGTACACGGGACAGGCTTCCATCAGGTTTGGATACTTTGCCTCTTCATCTATTAATAGAAAAGTGGCTGAAAGTTTTGGCAAGGCCACATTCTTCACCATCCACACGTGCTTTGGCGTGAAGATCCAGGACATGTCATATAATCCTGAGCAAGAAGAAGTGTTAATCCCAGCCTATGAGATATTCAGCATGTCCCAAGGACAAGGGAGTAACCACTTTATCCTCCAGAGCACAAAGCAGAACTGCAGCAATTGTAACTGCGCGTACCTGGGCGGTGAGTACTGGGCTGAACAGGAGAAATATTTGTGTGGGGCTATTTGCTGCGGAGGATTTGAAAACTCCACTTCAGGGAGAGCTGATGAGAGGGACGCTGACTTAGGGACTTACCACCAGGGCTGGGGGAGACAGGCTGCCACGACTCTTGCTGCTAGAGAGGCCTCGGGCTGGGGTGGGTGGACACTGGGTCCCAAGTGCTCACTGAGGAAAGAGAAGGTGCCTAGACATCATGGTGATGGAAGCACTAGAAAGACAGGTGAAGGCCCCAAACCACCACGAGTCTTCAACACATGCACGCCCCGTACAGAGCCCACAAGAGCTCTGGCAGAGCAGCTGTGGCTCCTCAGACACGGCACAGCAAATCCAGAGGCTGTGGGAAAGGGAGCAGGGGGGTGGCCTAGTGTGCAGATGGCACATTATTCGGGGCAGTCAGGACTAGGGACAACAGTGAGGAACTTCAGAGAGATCTAACCAAGTTGGATGAATGGGCAACACAACATCAGGTGAAATTCACTGACACACATTCAAGGTAACACACATTGTGAGGGATAATTTCACTGGATTGTTAATGAGCTGTATCAACTCAGAAGGAAACCTGGCCAGCATTGTGGAGAGTTCGGTGCAAATCTCAGTGAAAACCTCTGTTCAATGTGCTTCTAGGTCTATAAAGCAAACAAAATGTTAGCATGCATTGGGAATGATGGGATGGAGAATAATGTGGAGATATTAGAACTAAGGCTAAGATTTAGTCATGGGTTTTTGTTTTTTTAAGTAAAAGTCATGGAGAAGTCACAGGTAACAAACAAAAATTCACGGCCTTGTGATCTGTCCATGACTTGTACTATATACCCCAGACTAAATCTTGGGTGTTCTTGGGGCCTCCGGGGCACCCGCTGGTGCTCGGGGGAGGGGAGGGGTAGCCCGGGATCGTCACTGCTGCTGCTGGCGTGGGGCGTCCCTGCTGGACCGGGACCGCTGCTGTGGGGGGAGGGCAGTGTGGCTGGCACTGGAGCCTCCCATGCTGCTCAGGTGGTCTTGGGTTCAGTTGCACCTACCAGGTTCAGAAGTCACGGAATCTGTGACTTCCATGATCTCCGGGACAGACTTGCGGCCTTAATTATAACACCATTGCATGAATCAATGGGGCATTCTTCCCTGGGATACTAGGTTTGGTTCTGATCACCTAGCTCTAAAAGATTTATCAGGGGGGTGGAGAAAGAGTTCAGAGACAAGGGGTGAAAATGACCAGAGATCTGGAGAGATTGGGATGACTGAGCTAAGAGAAAAGACATAAAAGGAAACATGGAGATATACAAAATAATAAATGAGATGGGGAAATGGCAGTGTGTAATTTATCACTAGTGAAAGGGAATGCCCTGTTATATAGAATGCAGGCTTAACTTGTGGAACTCATTGCCACAACGTTTCCATGACTCCAAGAGCTCAGTAGAATTAAAGAAGAGAATTAGCCATTGATATAGACAGAATCTCTAAAGTTACGTTACACAGGATAAACTAATTGTTTTTAAAAGGGCAATAAACCCTTAGGCCTGAGGACAAAAGACATTCACTAACTGACAGGGTTGGGGAAGAAATTTCCTCTGTGTATGTTATTCCCCGCTGGGATTTCTTGCAGCTTCCCCTGATACAGCTGGGTCTCACCTCAATCAGGGACAGGATACCAGGCTAGATCCCGTCCGACAGTTCCTGTGATTCTTTGGAAATAGTAGAATGCAGCTGAAATTTCTACCTGGACAGATCCCATTTCATTGACCCTCTCTGTTTGTACTGTAGGAAAGATGACCCAAACATGTGTTTACAACTCTGGTAAGAAAGAACATTTTTGTTTTCATTCTTTTGAAAATGTCTCACCCTCTCTATTGAAGTGCAGAGCAGAGAGCAACCCCACCAGGCAAACATGTCACATGAAACCAGTTGAGAAATAAGTGGGATGAACTGCACGTTCTGTCTATTTATCCAGGTTCTCGTAGGGAGCTCATGACTAGTATCTGACACCTTCACGTCTGACTCAATTCCAGGCACAGTTGATTTCAGAAAAGAAAATTTAAGGAGAATAACCCCTTAGATTCATCTTCAGTGTTCTGAACTATAAGCTGAACACACATCCCCTAACCCAGCACCACAAGTGTGTCTCCATCTCCCTCCTCTCATAACTAGCCCCATTCTAGCCCCAGTGGAACTACATCCTCCCAAAGGACTAAACAGGATTGTTTTACCAGAGTAGATCAGAAAAAATCTCAAAATATTTTCTCATTGGAATTTGACAAATCATCAAATTCTTCACCTTCTGCAGAGGTGGTTTGATTTCGACACTGTTCTGTCAGAACGCTGCCTGGGTTCTGGCCAGATCACCCGCCTGGCTCCATGGCAGCTTGGCTGGGGGGCTGCCTGGGAGTCATAGACCCCAGGACTTCCAGTGCCCCTGACCCTGGGACAGCCTGCTTGATGGACCACCCCAGAGCCGACACTCCCTTCCCAAATCAGAGCCTCTGGGACTGGCTTGGGTGAAAGGTGCTCATTAATGATGGATACCAAAGGAACAAGCAGGTTGAGGGGGAGGAAGCAGCTCTGTCCAGCTTTAAGGATCTCTGTCTGTGTGAAATAATTTCCTATGAATTGTTTGATCTGCTTTTTCCTATTAACAGCTACCAGAGGCGGCCTGGCCTTCCCCGGTGTTCTGAGCCCGTCACTGTTTGGAGGATCCGTCATCCTGGTCCACGTTGCTGCTCTGAAGCTGTTTGCTGGTTTCTAAATTGTCCTATTCGTGTTACTCACTTTTTCTCTCTAACACAAATCATGGCGATGGGACTTGCCAGATCCAAAGCCGCCCTGCTATGCTGCCAGGGTTCCAAAGGGAAACCAGGAACCTGGAGGGAGTGTCGCTGGTACCTGCTGGGGCAAGCTTTGATTATACGTTATCAATGAGTAGATCAAAATGGAAGCTCATAGTTCTATTCCAGGTGGGATTTGTCTTACAATGGTAGAGCTATAAATTGGTGCCTGATATATAACTAATTACTTGTATTCCTGTCATGCTAGCACTTTTTTACTGACTTTTGATGACTTCAGTACAAGACTAAGGGTATGTCTACACTACGAGAGTAGTTCGATTTTAGTTAAATCGAATATGTGCAATCGATATTAGAAAGTCGAACGTATGTGTCTACACTAAGGACAGTAATTCGACTTTGTCAGTCCACACTACCAGGGAAAGCGTCGACATTGGAAGCAGTGCACTGTGGGCAGCTATCTCACAGTTCCCGCAGTCCCCGCCGCCCATTGGAATTCTGGGTCGATCCGCCAATGCCTTCTGGGTAAAAAAATGTGGCGAGGGTGCTTTTGGGTAACTGTCGTCATCCGTCAGTCACTACCGCCCTCCCTCCCTCCCTCCCTGAAAGCGCCGGCGGGAAATCAGTTCGCGCACTTTTTGATCAGTGACAGCGCGGACGCCACAGCACTGCAATCATGGATCCCGCTGCGACCATCGCTGCAGTTGTGGCCGTTCTCAACACCTCGCAGCTTATCATACACCTTTCCCTGAGGCAGATGCAGAGAAATCAGGCGAGGAGGCTACGGCACCGCCGTGAGAGCCTGAAGTCGGAGAGTAGCACAGAGCTGTCAGAAACCACGAGCCCCAGCGCCCAGGACATCACTGTGGCAATGGGGCATGTGGATTTTGTTGAACGGCGATTCTGGGCCCGGGAAACAAGCACGGACTGGTGGGACCGCATAGTGCTTCAGGTCTGGGATGAATCCCAGTGGCTGCGAAACTTTCGCATGCGGAAGGGGACTTTCCTGGAACTTTGTGAGTTGCTGTCCCCTGCCCTGAAGCGCAAGGACACCCGCATGCGAGCAGCCCTGACTGTCCAGAAGCGAGTGGCCATAGCCCTCTGGAAGCTTGCAACGCCGGACAGCTACTGGTCAGTCGCGAACCACTTTGGCGTGGGCAAATCTACCGTGGGGGTTGTTGTCCTGCAAGTAGCCAAGGCAATCGTCAAGGTACTGCTGTCAAAGGTAGTGACCCTGGGAAACGCGCAGGCCATCATAGATGGCTTCGCCGCGATGGGATTCCCAAACTGCGGTGGGGCTATAGATGGGACTCACATCCCTATCCTGGGACCGGGCCACCAGGCCAGCCAGTACATCAATAGAAAGGGCTACTTTTCAATGGTGCTGCAAGCACTGGTGGACCATCGGGGACGGTTTACAAACATCTACGTCGGATGGCCGGGCAAGGTTCATGACGCTCGCGTGTTCAGGAACTCTGGTCTGTTTAGATGGCTGCAGGAAGGCATTTACTTCCCGGACCACAAGATAACTGTTGGGGATGTGGAGATGCCTACAGTGATCCTCGGGGACCCAGCCTACCCGCTAATGCCCTGGCTCATGAAGCCCTATACTGGGGCCCTGGACACTGCACAAGAACTCTTCAACTACCGGCTGAGCAAGTGCAGAATGGTGGTGGAGTGTGCTTTTGGCCGTCTCAAGGGGAGATAGAGAAGCTTACTGACTCGCTGTGATCTCAGCGAAACCAATATCCCCATCGTTATTGCAGCTTGCTGTGTGCTCCACAATCTCTGTGAGAGCAAGGGGGAGACCTTTATGTCGGGGTGGGAGGTTGAGGCAAATAGCCTGGCTGCTGATTACGCCCAGCCAGACAGCCGGGCGATTAGAAGAGCCCAGCGGGACGCGCTGTGCATCCGGGAGGCTTTGAAAGCCAGTTTCAAGGCTGAGCAGGGTACCCAGTGACTTTTAAGTTTGTGGACACAGAAGCTGAACTTGCCCCCGTTTCTTTACCCAGTTGCCGTCGACTATCCTCTCCAGTTACATACCCCCTTCACCCCCTTCCCAAAAAATAAAGTCTGTTCTGTTTTGTTAATGGACACCGTTGTCTTTATTACTGTTTTCGCGGGAATGTTTTAAACCTGGGACGCAGACTGTGGCGGGGGGCGGGTTTAGTGTTGTGATGCAAATGATGCTTCTAAACTCCAGGAATGACAGGCTCCGCGGTGGTGGACTGGTTGTTTCAACGGAGCCTGCCAGCCCTCCTGGCCGGGACTGCGTGTATGTGTCGGCTATGTGACTGTCTTGCAGGGGGAGGAGTGTTACAGATCCCCTGCTGCGCGGCTCTGTGATCCAGGGTAAGGACCGCTGCATAAGATCTGTAACTGCCCTCCCCCGCCACCAAGTCACAGAGCAACACCACCCCCCCCACCACACAGAACATGAAAACCACCTCCCAGACTGACCAGGATAACTAGTCACTGCACTGTATATGTGCCCTGCTGCTGGACCTGCCCCCTGCTAAAGGTGACTGTCCTGTCCAATTACCAAGCCCCTTCCCCCCCCTTCAGACAGACTCTCATCTAAAAGAAGAGGATGGAAACAATAATGAACAAAAACGTATTTTTTATTAACAACCGCACATGGAACGGGGGGGTGAAACTTGGACAGGGTCTTGTGTGAGGCGGGTAGGAAAGGACTTTTCAAATTTTGGGGAATGAGAGCCTTCTAGTGGTAGAGCAGTCCGCAGGGGTGGAGTGAAATTTTTCACGGCCCCTTCCGCCCCTCCGTGTTTGGACTTTGGGTGAGGGGGGTATGGGACTTGGTGGCGGGGCAGGGCGATTAGAGAGAGACTGCAGCGGGGCTCTCTCCTCCTGCCTCCGGTCCTGCAGAACATCCACAAGGCGGCGGAGCGTGTCCGTTTGCTCCCTCATTAGTCCAAGCAGCGTTTGAGTAGCCTGCCAGTCCTCCTGTCGCCACCTCTCCTCCCGTTCAATGTTTGCCCGGTGCATTTGGGACAAGTTCTCCCTCCACTGTGTCTGCTGGGCTGCCTGTGCTCGGGAGCATGCCATTAGTTCAGCAAACATGTCTTCCCGTGTCCTCTTCTTCCTCCTCCTAATGTGCGCTAGCCTCTGGGCAGATGTGGCTGTGGGAATTGGAAAAAGGGAGTGAATTCCTGAGACAGATCAATGTATCTGTGAACAGAGAACATAGTCTTTCAACAAGACCATGCAGAGCACCTATCACACGCGCACTGAGGACAAGGTCGAATTTTCGGCCCTCGCCTACAGTGCCTGCGGTCTTGCTGTGGCGAGCTGAGGAGCAAGGCAGGACACCGGACTTTGTCTAGCTGTCAAACATGGTAAGCCGTAGACTTGTGGCTGCTTAAAACTTTAAGAGTGGCACTGGCCTCCTTTCGCATAGAAAGCAATGCGAGTCTCTGCTGGCAGCAATCCTGCAAGCATGAACTCTGGCCCTGTCCCACCCCCTCGCGGCTGTAAACCGCGTGGCTGTAAACCGGCGGTTGCAGTTCTGTAAAGGGACGGGCAAGCAGTCCCAATACTAACTTTCCCCTACCTAATTCACAGCAGGGAGTCATGCCAGACATCACCCTCCTGAAGGTCTCGGAGAGCCAGAAGGAGCGGATGCTTCGTGACAGCCTGCAGAAACCGGGGCCATTTGCTGCAATGCTCTGCAAGGCCATGATCCCCGAGTACCTGCTGGCGTTGTGGCAGGGAAACGTCTCATACCACGGGGGGCCTAACAAGCTCTCCCTGCCCAGGAACCTGCTCATGAGGCTTGAAAAACACCTGCAGGAGACCTATGAGGAATTCTCCCCGGAGGATGTCGCCTCTATCCCCGGATACATTGACCAGTTTTTGGGTTAGGTGCCCTTGGAGGGACAAAAGAGTGCAGCGTTTTGGGCATTATAATCATGAAGCGGACATTGTGAAATTTTTTGAAAATAGACTATATATTGAAGCGCCCAAAGACAGAGTAATCATGATACACTTTGCACAGATTCCCGTTTTGTTGGACTTTCCTGTTTACATGTTTTGAAGCACTTTACCCACTGTTAATATTTTAAATCTTCCTGTTTTGTTGTAAATAAATGTTTACATGTTTTAAAGCACTTTACCTATTGTTAATATTTTAAATATGCCAGTTATGTTATAAATAAATGTTTAGATATTTAAAACACTTACTGCTTGATTCTTCCCCTGAATCTGTGTCTGGGATAACGGCTGGGGAGGGTTGGTAGAGGATCTCTGTGAGGGTGATGAAGAGCTCCTGGCTGTCGGGCAAATCAGCGCTGTCGACTGCCTCGTCCTCCTCATCTCCTTCCTCCTCTTCCCCGTCCGCTGAGGAACCGGCCGCGGACAATATCCCATCCTCAGAGTCCACGGTCAGGGGTGGGGTAGTGGTGGCGGCCGCACCTAGGATGGAATGCAGTGCCTCGTAGAAACGGGATGTGTGGGGCTGGGATCCGGAGCGTCCGTTTGCCTCTTTGGTCTTCTGGTAGCCTTGTCTCAGCTCCTTGATTTTCACGCGGCACTGCGTTGCATCCCGGCTGTATCCTTTCTCTGCCATGGCTTTAGAGATCTTCTCATAGGTCTTTGCATTCCGTCTTTTGGAGCGCAGCTCGGAAAGCACGGACTCATCTCCCCACACAGCGATGAGATCCAAGACTTCCCGATCAGTCCATGCTGGGGCCCTCTTTCTAGTCTGAGATTGCACGGCCATCTCTGCTGGAGAGCTCTGCATCGTTGCCACTGCTGCTGAGCTCGCCACGGTGTCAAAACAGAAACTGCGATTCAAACTGCCCAGACAGGAAAAGGAATTCAAATTTTCCCGGGGTGTGGCTGGTCAGAGCATCCGAGCTCGGACTGCTGTCCAGAGCGTCAACAGAGTGGTGCACTGTGGGATAGCTCCCGGAGCTATTAGCGTCGAATTCCATCCACACCTAGCCTAATTCGACATGGCCATGTCGAATTTAGCACTACTCCTCTCGTTGGGGAGGTTTACAGAAATCGATTTAAAGAGAGCTCTATGTCGAACTAAATAGCTTCGTGGTGTGGACGGGTGCAGGGTTAATTCGATATAACGGCGCTAAATTCGACATAAAAGC